ACTTCCCCCATTGCACCTGCAAAGTACCCTCTGTTGGCCCACCCTAGTCAGTCACCAGGGTGAATCTCTTTTCCCCTTCATCCTAGAGTCTTTGCCCTGGCTGACTTTGGTGCGGACGCAAACTCACCAGGTTTGATATCGGATTCTGGATTCGTCTTTGGAAAGATTGTAATTAGCGACTCGCAACTCGTACGTCGTTAGCTTCGAGGCGCGATGCCTTTGTGGAGAGTAGAGTCCGTCCCAGATGAGATTGATGCGAGTGCCGATGCGTGTGACAGTCCTACCCGCAAAAGTCTCTTAAAGCCAAGGACGCAGACCTCAAGCCCAATGAGAAGCCCAGCTTCTCAATACCATTCACCGTTCCTAGTTCCGACCGCTCCACCTATTGACGTCAATAAGAATACATCGTGGTTTTCGTATCCTGGAGTTTGGACGACATACTTAATCATTGTCGTACTAGTGTGGCTCTTAATCCTCATAATTTTTCAGTGTAGTGTGGCTTCCGCTTGCGCTGCTGTCAATATTATCCATTTCGTGGTAAGTGAGCGTGATATTTGTTGTAGGCGACGAAGTGTAGAGAGCTAGGTTTTCATGAATATTATTACCGTCGAATCTTTTGCGCCTTAAAGGCTGTATCTTTGCATACTTATTACCGAAGAGTCGGATGTGCGTATTCCTGTGCAGGTGACCTTCTACCTTTTCCACTGGAAAAAAGGCTCGCCCTTCGCTGAAGACCAGGGATTGTACGATAAGCTCACTTGGTGGGAGCAGATTGATGGCCGCCGGCAGCTTACTCCCAACCGCAAGTTTTTGACCATGGTCCCTGTCCTATTGTAAGTGCCTTGGAGACGTCAAATTTCAGACTTCTGCTAATTCTGGTACGGTAACCTGCAAGGCTTTCATCCGTGTGTAAATCTCCATGTGGGCCCAATCGTTATATTTTTCACCCTTTTCAGATACCTGGTGACATCCTTTTACATGCGGCATGATCCTAACTCTGAGCTTTTCTTCGTCATCAACACAGTGCTTGTCTTTGCACTTGTCATTGCCAAGCTTCCAGCTCTTGACAAAGTCCGGATATTTGGGATCAACTTTGACTAGCCATCAGGCCAATGGTTTGTAGTACTACAGTATCTGCTGTTCAGAGCCCGTTTCCTTGAATTTTGGATAGGTGGGCCATGGGCAGACCTTCATCAAGCCAGGTTCTTGTTTATTACTCAACCCCTGTCAGTTGCCATGCCATAACCTGTAGGCACCGTGATGTGCGTAGCTTGTTAAGGGATTGTAAGATTTCTTCTTAAAGCGACGGTGCACATTTGCCACCCAAAACCCAGAACCCTGGCGAACTGTTACTGCGGATGGAAAGTGTCCGCACGAAATCCTGGTTTTCGCCAGCCAGCACTTTCGCGCTGGCAAGCCTGGTTAAAAAAAAAAACTTCTGAACCCAACACTGCCAAAAGTTGCCCGTCGCTTTAAGCTCTATACAGTTTGGGCAAGAGACAAATAAGGGTAGTCAGCTGTCTTGCAAATTCCTGATCCAGGATGAACGAGGAACTGAAGCCATGAGGAACAAAATTATGCAGACTTCACAGCTCCAATCGATCAAACTGCTTTCCAGCATATTTATGACATGATATGTCTGAATCAACTCATTGACACACTTCAGCTAACATCAAGTACCTCAACGCCCTGCCTTGCGCTCTTGAAGAGGTGCAATGGCTTCGTCTTGCGCACCCTTGTTTGCAAATGGACGTTCTCCTTGACAGTATCGATGGAGACTGCACTGATCTCAGTGTACCCTGTGATGCCCTTCAGCTTCAGACCCACAACACCTGCCATTTCCTTGGGAGTAATCCGGACCACAACCTTCTTCGCATACTTCAGAACTGTCCCGTCACTGAGCTTGATTTCCATTCCTCCTGTAAAATACACCTCCAGGACGCCCCCTGCTTCGGGTTTGCTGGAATCTGTAAGTTTTAGGACATACTTGACATGGTTCTTTGGGAAAATTCCCACAGGGAACTCGTACTGCTCCAAGATCTCTGGAAGCGGCTTCTGCACTTTGCCTGGAATGGCACGAATGGCAGAGTGATACGTGTATGGCATGGGGAAAAAAAGGAATTATAGTAAACGAAGGTGGATGCAGAAGACAATTAGGGAAGGAAACGAACATAGCATCCATGATTGCGGGCACATGGACTTGGACGAGTAGAAAGGACGAGAACACTTTTCACCAAGTAATTTCACTGCAACTCGTACCCATAAGGCCTTCCCACCAGTTGCTGACAGCTTCTGTTGCATCATTCACCATCGACTGACACAGCGAGATTAGAAACACAGAGAGCACGGGTGTCATGAAGGTAATGCAGATATTTTGCATACAGAATGAACGAGGAGAACTAGTCAACAGGCTGGACATAAGGAAATGCAAAAGTCTATGAATCTGTGGTATTTCGAAAATAACATTACCCGGCACACTCACATTGACTGCTTCTCCAACGCCATTAACTTGCTTCTCAACAGCCTTTCCCGCAAAAAAATCCATGTCGGGACTATCCTGACTAGGGTTAGACGGTAAGAAGCGCGACCGAAACTAGCCACGAAAGAGCTAGTTCAGCCTCAGATCAAAACCAGCACCCAAGAGTAGAGCAGCGTAAACTGCGCCAAGACGAATGAAACGGCTTGACAAAAGGTCGGTGCGGCGGAAGCAGCGTGAGAGAAAAGAAGCCAGATGCAAAGAGCAGAAATGCGTGGTGAGAAGAAACGAGTGGGATGGGATGGGAGGGAACGTTTGTGGCTGGTGAAAGTGGGGAGAAAAGATTCGCTGAACCAAAAATTGGCATTGGCTGGGAGGTGGACGCAAAGGTTCTGGTGAATGGACGAGCAGCTGCGACAGTGGCTGCGAACATCAACACCGGTTCGGTTACCTGTTCTGAGAACGTTCGCCTCACATTGGCGAAAGTGTGCTGGTAACACACCAGATATTCAACCCTTTCCCCTTCCACCCCCCCTCCCAAACCTCCCTTACCACTTCCGCCTTTCCCCGAGCTGTTCTTGACGCTGACGCATCCTCGATGTGTATGCACGAAGTGGCGGCAGCAGCACACGCGTAAGTATGTAGCTTGGCTGAGAATTAACAATCGTCGCCTGGGGTTGTCTCGAAGTAGCACGGAAGTCAGGGTGCGGTCTGGCTTGGGGATTTTATTCTTGGTTATTCTCGGTTCCTCTCGGTTCCTTTCCGTTCTTTTGCTGCCATGGCCGACGACGAAGCTTCCTTTTTCGAAGCGATCAGCAGCTTAGGTCCGCTGAGCGAAGCGGAGCTGTCGATTCCCGCGCTCCACGCCGCTGAATCATCGCCCAACGAGTTCAAGATCGAAGAGATCGACGGCTTGCCGTGGCTCCCCCCACTCGAACCAGCTCCTGCCGCTCCTGCTTCCGAGTGTTCCCCAGAGCCTACCCAAGCGTGCGACCGGGAGCATGTCCGACACCATGAGCAGGAGTACAGCCGAGAGCAGCATTCTCACTACCAGCGTACTGAATTTCTTGCAGGCAGTCCGGGAGACATCGAATTTTCTCAGGCGATCGACGGTCCCGTCGCGCGGTCTGCGCCGCGAGCCGTTCCACAGCAATTCGGCACGTCCGGATTCCGCCGAGGCTTCCTCCTTTCAGGCTCGGAACCTATTTCCGTAGGTTCGGTGCCGGACCAGAAAATAGAGAGAGCTGAAGCGCAAGGGAGCGACAGACGAGAGGAGGAGGCGGAGGGGTGGAAGGAGTGGATCAGCCTGTCGACCGAAACACATTTTCAGCTGCAATTGTCCGAAGACCAAGACTGGTTCTCTGAGCGTGGGACCCAGGAAGCTTCTGGAATAACAGACACGAGCAGTTTCAGCGGAGTCATTGATAGCACAGCTTCACAGAGCAAGGGTGATTATAACGAGGTGCAGGAGGCAAAGAGTGCGTGCTTGGCGGTTGGAATGGAAGGCGAGGGTATCTGGTCTGATCCCCTGCCTGTGGAGGGAAGTGCATGGGAGGGTGGGCTCCGTTGGGGTGATTCGCATGCTGCAGTGGGGGATTCGCGGAGCGAACAGTGTGTTACAAACGCGGGTGATACTATCGAGGGTGATGCATGGACGTTTGACGATGCTGAAGGTGCGGGGTGTGATGACGAGGTGTTGGGGAGCTGGGTGGGTGAGATGGACGAGGGCGATGGGGAGGTGGCGGAGGAGAGAAGCGAGGAATGGGAAGGAGGGATGGGAATGGGGATGGGGATGGGTTTTGAAAGCACGTGGTCTCGTGGTGCGTCAGCGTTCCCCCCAGGAGCTGCTTCTGCTGAATTCGAGCCCGCTGAAACTGCTGAAACTGCTGAACCTGCTGGGCCGGCCAGTGACAGTGCTGCGTCCGCTGCTGGCAGTGCAGCAAGGCAGTCAGCAGGCAGGACGAACAGCACTGCTGGTGGGGCGTTCGGCAGTGCGGCACCGCCTGCCGGTGGTGGTGATGCGGGTGGGGGGGCGTGCTGGAGTGCGGAGGAGGTGAAGCGGATTCTGGCGTCTCTGGAGCAGCAGAGCCAGAGGGTGCTGCTGGCGCAGCAGAGGAAGCAGAGTAGAGAGAGGGGCCAGTTGGAGCAAGATGGCGTGGGGAGGTGGATGGGGATGGGTAACGGTGATGATGTGGGTGGTACGGATGTGGTTGATGAGCTGGCGAAGGGTCATGCTGAGGTGGCGCGTGAGGTGGATGAGGTGGCGCGTGAGGTGGATGAGGTGGCGGATGCAGATGAGCGACTGAAGCAGATGGTAGCCATGGCTGCCAGACAGCTGGACGAGGGGCCCTTCACTCCTGCAACTGCTGTTTCTGCGACTACTGCTGCTGCTACTGTTGATGTGACTGCTCCTGATGCTGCTCCAACTCCTGCTGCTCTTGCTCTTGCTCTTGCGGATCCTTGCGGCATGACTGCTGCCACCACTGCTGCACCTACTCTGCCTGCCATTGCTCCTGCCGGAGAGCCCACAGCCGATGTAATTGCAGATTCCGTTTCTCACACCAGCCCTTTTCACTCAAAAGGAAGTGACAATAGCGGGAGCCTGAGTGGACACCTAGGGGGCGAAGGTGTGGGAGGTTTAGGGCGGGAAGATGGGGGTGGGACGTTCTTTGATGAGGCGAAGGAGCTGGAGCGAGATCTGGTGGCGCGATGGGGTCGAGACGGGGATAGAGGCGCCTGCGATGAGGGCTCTGAGTGGACGCAAGAGGGCGTCAAAGGCGAGAGCAGAGATGAGGGACAGGGAGGGGCCAGGGACGATGGAGATAGTGCGAGGGGAGGAGGGGAGGAGGAAGGGAGGACGTTCTTTGATGAGGTGGAGGGGCTGCAGGAGGAACTAAAGGGGATGGAGGGGGTGCAGGGGTTGACGGGGTTGCAGGAGCTGCAGGGAGTGGCGGTGGAGGAGGGGTTTGTGTCAAGTGCACTTGAGGGATCAGAGCCGGGCAGAGCTACCAGCGCCATCACCCGCAGCACCTGCAGCGGTAGTATTGATACCACTGGCATCACCAGCAATAGCAGCAAGAGCACCTGCTCTGGCTTCTCGTTTGAAGGCGCGTGGTCCTTTTCCACAGGCTCCGGCGCTCGTGAGAGGCCTGAACCCGCACACGGGGAAAGCGCCCACACAAGCGGCCTCGCTCGTGCCCGTGACCATGCCCACCCGCCTGCAGTTCCACCCCTAGCGGCCGTTCCAGCACTGTGTGAAGCAGCACCAAGGGGAGCGCTGGAAGGCGGTATGCAGGAGAAGAGTGGAGGGGCAGTGGGGCCTCAGGGAGTGGAGCAAGGGAGGGTGCATCGGGGGAAGGCACAGCTGGGCTTGCGTGGTGGCGCCAAGGGCAGGCTGAGAGTGGGGGGTTTCAAACGGGGATTTCTGCTGGGTGGGGAGGACAGGACAGGGAAGGAGGAGGGTAGTGGTGTGGTGGGTGAGAGTGTGGTGGAGGGAGCGTGGAAAGAAAAGGACGGTGGTCGTGCCAGCCCTGTTAGTGGGGGCAGTCCTGGTGGTATTGACAGCAACGTTGGTGACGGTGGTGCTGCGGGTGCTGCTGCTGGTGTGGATGCACCTGTTGCATCGCCCTCGCATGCACCACAAGCCGCACACGCCACACCTGCTGCATCCCCCACGGACGAGGCGCAAGCAGTGTTCGCACGTGTGCACCCGCTCTGCATGGCTGTGGTGGACGCGCGGGGGGACCACCAGCAGCTGCCACATGCCATTAAGCGATTGGAGGAGGCGATTGGGCGCAGGGACGTGCCTGTGGGGGGCATTCAAGCATGCCTAGAGTGAGTGAAGTGTCATAGCTAGTAAATTACCTACTAGCTCGTGGCGTTTATAAATCAAATGGCGTATTTACAGCCTCATGTACGATCCCATGTCGCATCTGTTTCCTTCCGTCCTTGCCATGCCAGCAAAGCACCCTTCAACCGCATCACGCCTTCCACTAACACCACACCTACCCTTCCTTCTTTCCTGGTTTCTTTCCCCCCCGCTTCTCTCCCTTCACGTCACCAGGTTTATCCTCTTCCCGCTCTTGCTCGTGCTGTGTCCACCCACCCCAACCTCCACTCCCTCCTCTTCCAAGCCGCCTGCTTCAGCTGCGGCAGGCGAAGGCTGGGCCAGCAGCACAGAGAACGATCATGTGGCTGGAATCACGCCACGTGGCGGGCAGCGAGTGGTGGAGGCAGCCCTCAGCTGCATGCACGTGGCGCTGACCCGCTGCGCCGTGCGATCGCACGACCAGGCTGCCTCCCTCCTCCGCTTCCTCGCCTCCGCCACCTCCCCCATCCCCCAACCACCTCCCACCTCAAGCACTAGCTCAAGCGTCCCTGATCGCCCTGCTCTCAGCGCATCATCAGGAGCAGTAATTCCATCACCGTCACACCCACCATCAGCATCGCCACCACTTGCAAGCATGTCGGGCATTGCACAGTCAGAGGAGGCTCGGCTGCTGGCAGTGCGCTGCCTCTCCGCCCTCCTCTCCCACCTCCCTCGCTGCTCGCCTTCCTCCTGCTGCTGCGCTGCTGCTACAAGCGGCCAAAGCACCAGTGCAACCAGCAATAGCAGCAGCAATAGCAGTGGTAGCGGTGCGAGCAGCAAGTGTGTGGCGGGTGTGCTGCAGGCGCAGGAGGCAGCACCGCTGCTGGGTCACCTGCTCTCCAACATGCTCTCAGTGAGTGCACCACGCGTGCTGCTCTCACGCTGTGTGACGCTTGCTGCTTTCGTTAGTGGAGCTGCTCGTACCTCATCTAAGCAAGAACTCTGCTCTCTCCATTGATTGGAAAGGCAGCCGCTTGTATCGCCTCCACCTGGCTGCTGGATCCAACAGCTGATGAGACCAGCGTGCCTGCTGATTGCGCATGTCCCCTCTTCCCCCTCCCCACATGCCCGCCCACACAGGCGGCAGAGGCGGAGGCTCGGGTGGGCACGAGGGGCAGCCAGGTGGTTCGAGCGGAGGCACTGCGAGCCATGCGCCTGCTTGTGGATGGGGTGAGCCGTGGAGCATTGCATTCCGCTCGGCTGCATGCGTGCATGGTTGCATTGCGTGTGCAGGGCTTGCACATGGTTCCTGTCTGTGCTACCAGCTACATCAATGCCAGCGTCTCCTGTCCTTTCCATGTTCCTGCGCCTCTGTTCTCCCTCCCCCACTCCACGCACACACTCCTGACTTCCTCACTCTTCTCTTTCTCTTTTCCCTATTCTGCACTGCTCCCTGCCTTTCTCCGTACCGCATTCCCTCTCATCCCCCCCCACTCATCCACGCTCAGGCGCACACACCCGACGCGCTCGCCTTCTTCCTTCCGGGGATCCTCAGTGGCCTCTCCCGTGCAGCCCTCGCCCCCTTCTCCCCGCGCTCCAATGAGCCGCTCACACGTGGCGCCGCAGCAGACCCCTCCGCAGTGGCCGAGGCGCTGCTTGGGCTGTCACAGGCGCTAGTGCTGGTCATGGGGGATGCTTATAGCGAGGATGGACATGACGAGGATAAAGGGGAGGAGAATGAGAAAGGGAGTGAGGGAGGGGAGACAGAGGAGGAGAGGGCTTTGAGCATGCTGCAGCAGATGGTGGGTCGCATGGAGGGGCGGAAGGGGGAGGGGAGGAAGGGAGGGGAAGGAGAGGAGGATTGGTTGGGAGAAAAGGAAGGATGTGGGGTGGGGTCAGAAGGGGCGCTGCAAGGAGAAAAGGCGAGCGGCACAGCAGGGACGAGGGAAGGCGCGGTGATACTGAGGGAAGTGAGTGTGAGGAGGCGGTGTGAAGAAAAGAGTAATACGCCACGGGCACATGCAGGAACAGGTGTGGGGCGTGCGGGGGCAGGAGGTGCAGGGAAGGGTGGGAGGGGAGGAGACGGCGGGGCGAGGGGGGCAGGAGGAGAGGGGGGGGGAGGGATGGTGGTGCTGCGAGTGGAGAGGGACGAGGCGTGGCGCGGGGAGACAGGCGCCAAGGTGCTCGTGCTGCTGCACAAAGTGCTTCCCAAGGTGAGACCAGACGGTATACAATGCTGCGGCTCTCCGCTCATGTATGAACATTCACCTCGCCTCGCCTGCCTCCGCCAGCTGCCGGGGTGACTTGCGAGCCCACTCCACTCCTCAGTGGCTGCACACTGCTTCTGCTGCTCTCCGCTGCTCCCCTGCACATGTGCTCACCTCACCTCACCTTGGTCCCCCTCCTCCCCCCAGATGCTGCACTTCCCCGCCCCCAAGGTCCGCTGTGCCTTAGTAGACATGCTGGGGGAGCTGTTGCTGCGCTGCCCCTGCTCCCTCTCAGCCTCGCGCCCCCTGCTGCTCGTGAGTCCCTCAGTTTTTGTCCGCTCTATCTGTCCATCCTGTCGCGGATTGGGAAGAACTCTGGTAAAGAGCATCAGCATCAGCATCAGCATCAGCATCAACATCAACATCAGCATCAGCATCAGCATCAGCGCATCAGCATCAGCATCAGCATCAGCATCAGCATCAGCATCAGCATCAGCATCAGCATCAGCAACAGCATCAGCATCAGCATCAGCGCATCAGCATCAGCATCAGCATCAGCATCAGCATCAGAATCAGCATCAGCGCATCAGCATCAGCGCATCAGAATCAGCATCAGCGCATCAGCATCAGCATCACGCATCAGCATCAGCGCATCAGCATCAGCATCAGCATCAGCATCAGCATCAGCATCAGCAACAGCATCAGCATCAGCATCAGCATCAGCATCAGCATCAGCATCAGCGCATCAGCATCAGTATCAGCATCAGCATCAGCATCAGCATCAGCATCAGCATCAGCATCAGCACATCAGCATCAGCATGAGCATGAGCATCAGCATGAGCATGAGCATCAGCATCAACATCTACATCAGCATCAGCATCAGCATCAGCGCATCAGCATCAGCATCAGCGCACCAGCATCAGCATCAGCGCATCAGCATCAGCATCAGCATCAGCATCAGCAACAGCATCAGCATCAGCATCAGCGCATCAGCATCAGCATCAGCGGATCAGCATCAGCGCATCAGCGCATCAGCATCAGCGCATCAGCATCAGCATCAGCATCAGAATCAGCATCAGCGCATCAGCATCAGCGCATCAGAATCAGCATCAGCGCATCAGCATCAGCATCACGCATCAGCATCAGCGCATCAGCATCAGCATCAGCATCAGCATCAGCATCAGCATCAGCATCAGCATCAGCAACAGCATCAGCATCAGCATCAGCATCAGCATCAGCATCAGCATCAGCATCAGCGCATCAGCATCAGTATCAGCATCAGCATCAGCATCAGCATCAGCATCAGCACATCAGCATCAGCATGAGCATGAGCATCAGCATGAGCATGAGCATCAACATCTACATCAGCATCAGCATCAGCATCAGCGCATCAGCATCAGCATCAGCGCATCAGCATCAGCATCAGCGCATCAGCATCAGCATCAGCATCAGCATCAGCAACAGCATCAGCATCAGCATCAGCGCATCAGCATCAGCATCAGCGGATCAGCATCAGCGCATCAGCGCATCAGCATCAGCGCATCAGCATCAGCATCAGCATCAGCATCAGCATCAGCATCAGCATCAGCATCAGCATTAGCGCATCAGCATCAGCACATCAGCTCATCAGCATCAGCATCAGCGCATCAGCATCAGCGCATCAGCATCAGCATCAGCGCATCAGCATCAGCGCATCAGAATCAGCATCAGGGCATCAGCATCAGCATCAGCATCACGCATCAGCATCAGCGCATTAGCATCAGCATCAGCATCAGCATCAGCATCAGCAACAGCATCAGCATCAGCATCAGCGCATCAGCATCAGTATCAGCATCAGCATCAGCATCAGCGCATCAGCATCAGCATCAGCGCATCAGCATCAGCATCAGCATCAGCAGCAGCATCAGCATCAGCATCAGCATCAGCATCAGCATCAGCATCAACTTCAACATCAGCATCAGCATCAGCTTCAGCATCAGCATCAGCATCAGCATCAACGCATCAGCATCAGCATCAGCGCATCAGCATCAGCATCAGCGCACCAGCATCAGCGCATCAGCATCAGCATCAGCATCAGCATCAGCAACAGCATCAGCGCATCAGCATCAGCATCAGCATCAGCGCATCAGCATCAGCGCATCAGCATCAGCATCAGCATCAGCATCAGCATCAACATCAACATCAGCATCAGCATCAGCATCAGCATCAGCGCATCAGCATCAGCATCAGCGCATCAGCATCAGCGCATCAGCATCAGCATCAGCATCAGCATCAGCATCAGCAACAGCATCAGCATCAGGATCAGCGCATCAGCATCAGCATCAGCATCAGCGCATCAGCATCAGCATCAGCATCAGCATCAGCAACAGCATCAGGATCAGCATCAGCATCAGCATCAGCATCAGCAACAGCATCAGCATCAGCATGAGCATCAGCATCAGCAACAGCATCAGCATCAGCATCAGCATCAGCATCTGCGCATCAGCATGAGCGCATCAGCATCAGCATCAGCATCAGCATCAGCATCAGCATCAGCGCATCAGCATCAGCATCAGCATCAGCATCAGCGCATCAGCATCAGCGCGTCAGCATCAGCATCAGCAACAGCATCAGCATCAGCGTCAGTATCAGCATCAGCGCATCAGCATCAGCGCATCAGCATCAGCATCAGCATCATCGCATCAGCATCAGCATCAGCATCGGCATCAGCAACAGCAACAGCAACAGCATCAGCATCAGCATCGGCATCAGCATCGGCATCAGCATCAGCGCATCAGCATCAGCGCATCAGCATCAGCATCAGCATCAGCATCATCGCATCAGCAACAGCATCAGCAACAGCATCAGCATCAGCATCAGCATCAGCAACAGCATCAGCATCAGCATCAGCGCATCAGCGCAAGCATCAGCATCAGCATCAGCATCAGCATCAGCGCATCAGCATCAGCATCAGCATTCAGCATCAGCATCAGCGCATCAGCATCAGCAACAGCATCAGCATCAGCATCAGTGCATCAGTGCAAGCATCTGCATCAGCTCATCAGCGCATCAGCATCAGCATCAGCATTAGCATCAGCATCAGCGCATCAGCATCAGCATCAGCATCAGCGCATCAGCATCAGCATCAGCATCAGCGCATCAGCATCAGCATCAGCATCAGCATCAGCATCAGCGCATCAGCATCAGCATCAGCGCATCAGCATCAGCATCAGCATCAGTACAGCATCAGCGCATCAGTCCAAGCATCAGCATAAGCGCATCAGCATCAGCATCAGCATCAGCATCAGCATCAGCATCAGTACAGCATCAGCGCATCAGTTCAAGCATCAGCATCAGCGCATCAGCATCAGCATCAGCATCAGCATCAGCATCAGCGCATCAGCATCAGCATCAGCGCATCAGTGCAAGCATCAGCATCAGCGCATCAGCATCAGCATCAGCATCAGCGCATCAGCATCAGCATCAGCATCAGCATCAGCATCAGTGCATCAGCATCAGCATCAGCATCAGCGCATCAGCATCAGCATCAGCATCAGCATCAGCATCAGCATCAGTGCATCAGCATCAGCATCAGCGCATCAGCATCAGCATCTGCATCAGCGCATCAGCATCAGCGCATCAGCATCAGCATCAGCATCAGCAACTGCATCTGCATCAGCGCATCAGCATCAGCATCAGCATCAGCATCATCATCAGCATCATCATCAGCACCAGCACAATGCACATGCATCATCTCGCACCCGTCGCTGCAGTTGGTTCTGCTCCTTGCGTTCAAGTGTGGAAGGAGAGAAATTCCTGCATATGCACCATTCTACCTGCATATGCACCATTCTACCTGCATATGCACCATTCTACCTGCATATGCACCATCCTACCTGCATATGCACCATCCTACCTGCATATGCACCATTCTACCTGCATATGCACCATCCTACCTGCATATGCACCATTCTACCTGCATATGCACCATTCTACCTGCATATGCACCATTCTACCTGCATATGCACCATCCTACCTGCATATGCACCATCCTACCTGCATATGCACCATTCTACCTGCATATGCACCATTCTACCTGCATTTCCTCTTGTGATTGACCCCATGCAACCGCATTGTGCCTCTCAATCGCGTGCAGGAGTGCCTCCTCCTCCTCGCCTCTGACCACTGGCCCTCCGTTGCGTCCTCTGCTCGCCGCCTCCTTGCCCGTGCTGTCATCACTGACCGCAACCCAGCACCGCCATCATTACCACCAGTAACAGCGGCTACTGGTGGGCCAGGGCCTCACAAGTGTATAGGCACAGGGTGCATCGAGGTGGCGAATGTCGCTCTGGCGGAGATGGTGGAGAGGTGCGTCTTGTTCCCCCAAGGAGGGTTATTGCTTTTCTGCACGAGAGCGTGCTTATTTGTTGCACACTTGCTCGCGCGTCCGTGGAGGTACGTGCGCCCACCTCTCTCTTTCTTGAATCGCCTCACCACAAGCTGCAACTCCCCCTGTCCCTCCCGGCTGCCTTTCCCCGCCCCCGTCACAACAGGCACATGGCATCCCTCGCAACTCCCGCCCCACCCACCTCTCATTTCCCGCCCTCCGCCCTGCCCCTCCACTCCCCGCTGCTTCCATCGCCCACCCTCGCCCCCTCCATCTCCCTCGTCGCCTCCGCCTCGCACCTACAAGCCACCACGGCCTCTCTCCGAGTGCTCTCAGCGTGCTTCATCACAGCAGGGCGTCATCCCGCAGCCCACCACATCCTAGACCCTGTGAGCCGCTTGCATGTTCTGTTCTCTAACTGCACTTGTGGCGCACCCACCCAGCTTAGCCTGCGTACGGTCCAATTAATTCCTTGATGCTATCACCCCCCTCTTGCACACCCTCCCTTGGCCTCCCCTTGAATCCGTAGTACTCACCTTCCTTCCATTCTGCTGAGCCCTATCCATCTTTTTGTTCCTCCCATTCTCTTCCCATTCCGCCTTGTTCCTGTCACTGGGTGGAACTGACTATCATTGGTGGTGATTTCACCCTTAACCTCGTCCCCACCTCCCTTGCTAATGACACTCCTCCCACCTGTGACGCCACCTACGCCCCCTCCTGTCCCCCGCTTCTCCCACCACGCCAGGCCTTCTCTGCGCGCCTCTCCACGGCCATCTCTCTGCATCTGCCCTTTGCACCCGGCAGCCCCCACACGCTCGAGTCCTCCCCTGCTCCTGCCCTCGCGCTTTCACCACTGCTCGGCTCAGCTGCTGCATCAGGTGAATTCTCAAGTGTTGTGCCACCCAGCTCAGGTGTTCCATCAGGGCCTTGCTCTGCAGCTACCAGAGAGGAGAGCGAGGAGGAGCAATGGAGGGAGTGGTTGTGGGAGGTGCTAGATCATCAAGAGGGGTACAACAACCCCAAGGGGTCAGCACACTATAGCAGCATGTGTGAGCAGTCAGTGCAAGTGCTGCACAGGGCGCTAGCTGTAGACGCCACTGCCCCTCTGCTCCTCTGGTTCTGCCGCTTCCTACGAGTGCTCGCCCGCCTTGCTGCTGCTGCTGATGCCCATGATGCTGCTGGTGTTGCCGGTCTTGGTACTGCGCTGACGGCATGGCAGCAGCCAATAGGGGCGCTTCCTGCCCTTTTCCAGCCACTCCTGGAAGGCCTGCGTGAGGCTGTGGGGAGGATTGAAGAGGAGAGGCGGAGGGAGAGGAGGCGAGCCCGGGCCAAGAAGAAGGAATGGGTGGACGTTGAGGGGATGAGGAAGGGAATGGGGAAGGGGGGTGAGGGAGGGAAGAAGGGAAAGACGAGCAAGGGGCAGGTTAAGGAGGAGGGAGGGCGAAGGAAGGTGAGGGGGAGGAAAGAGGATGGGGAGAAGCAAGGGGTGGAAAGGAAGGAGGAGGAGGATCTGTCAGAACAGGTTTCTGCTGCTCGGGCAGCTTCGTCTTTTCTGTTGGCTCTGACCGAAGCACTTGCTGGCGTGAATGGCAGGCCGTGGGAGGCTCCCCCCGGTGGGGGAGATGTGGCGGCGCTGGGAAGTGGAACAGTGCAGGTGGAGGAGAAGATGGAGGAAGAGGAGCAGGGAGCTCAGCAGCTCAAGGCAGTGGCGCAGAGGGAGGACAGGTGGCATGCGGTGGTTGGTCCGGTGGTGCAGTCAGTGCTGGCAGAGCTGCTGAACGACGACCTGTGGGAGCTTCCTGTGGATGTGACGCAAGGGGGAGGGAGAGCGGTGCAGAGCTGTGCTGGAGGGGAATGGATGGGTGAGGAGGAGCGCAGGGGGATGATGCGCAGGCTCAATGAGAACGCCAACCTGCAAGCGGTGAGTGGGGAGCAGGGATTTAGAAAAGGATATGGGCACGGCTCTGGTATCCCCCTGTGCACCATCTTCATCTTTTCATCTTCCCCTTTGCTCTTACCTTTCTCTTCTCCCCTCCTCCCATCAGGTGCTCCTCCTATCCCTCTCAGCAGCGCTCTCAGCTCTCGGCCAATCACATGCCACAAACTCCGGTGCGCTGCGCCGCGCCTTCCCTCCGCTGCTGCGCGCGCTCGCCTCTCCCCACGCCCGTGTCTCCTCCGCTGCGGCACATGCCCTCTCTTCCATCACCCGATCATTTGAGTACCCCTCGGTGCGTCACCTGCCACCCCTCTTCTCCTCCTCCACTCATTGTCCCCCCGCTTTCACGCTCTTGTCTCAGCTGTTGCTGCAGCCCACCATCAGCATGCTGCTGTGCGATGCCCTCGTGCCCTCATGCCTGTCGCTGCCTGCCTGTGCCTCCTCTTCGCCCTCCCCCCATGCAGGTGCCGGCGTTGGTAGCGGCCAACATGGACTATGCCATAGCTACCGTGTGCCACGGCCTCTCCACCCTGCACTGCCACCCCTCCGCGCCCCGCCTGCTGCTCGCCGTCATGCACCTGCTGCCCCTCGTACCTCCCGCCTCTGCAACCGCCGCCCCTGCCGCTCCTGTACTGCCTGTGGCCCCTGCAGTGCCTGGGGAGTATGCGGGGGAAGCAGCAGATAGTCGCCTGCACCAAGCTGGTGCGAGCAAACGCTCCGGGTCATCAGCAGTGGGAAGCGGAGGGGCAGCAGCAGCAGGGTCAGCGGTGTCAGTGGCAGCGACAGCGGCGTCGGTGTTGCCATCGGCGTTTGAGAGCATGCTGCCCCTCATCATCCACCCGGTAACCATGCCCGTTAGCGAGTCACTTTCAGAGGCATACTGCCATCACGCCTACCTGCTGCTCATGAACTCAGCACGACTCCTGTTACCGACCCTCGCCCTTCCCCCCAATAACCACCATGTTCAATCCCACAATGTATCCCTCTTGTTCAGTGATATCAGTCCTGTGCTGGGAGATCTCGTCAACTGCTCGTGTACCCTCCTTGTGAAAATGGCAGTGCTCTGTCCTTTACTGCCATCCTCATCTCCCTTCCCCATTCTGCCTTCCCCATTCTGCCTTCCCCATTCTGCCTTCTCCGCACTGCCTTCGCCTTCCCCCTTCTTCCTTCGCCCTTCTCCCTTCCCTTGTCACAGATTCGCTCTGTCCTGGCCTCGCTCCAAATCACCGCTCGTTTGCAGAATGCCCCCCATATAGTCACCCTCGTTCAGGTGCTCCGTGTGCTGATGTCAGCATGTGCCATTGCCACATCAGCAAAGCGCGCCGATGCCGAAGCTGCAGCCTTGGCAGCAATTGCGGTGCTCCGGAGGGAGGAACGAGCCCGGCGCAAGCAGCTTCGGAAGCTGCGGCGAGCCAAGGAGGGATGTGGTGGTGAGGAGGGGAGGAGCAGACTGAATGCTCGGAGCGGCCTTGATAAGCCTTACCCACATGTCAGCCGTGTTAGCCCTGAGTCTCATGCTGCTGGTCTCGCATCCTCTCCTGCCGGCTTTGAAGCTCGGCTTGCTTCTCAAGGGAGCAGTAGCTGCAGCAGCTTGTGTGGTGGGAGCGGCAGCAGTGCTGGCGCAGATAGCGGCAGTGCCAGAGACTCAAAGTCACCAGCTGATTCAGGTGTGCAACCCTTTCACCCACCTTCATTCCCCCGTATTCTCACAACTTTTAGTTTTTTTCTAGAATTGTAAAAGATGGCTTGTCGAACTCCCTGCAGTGTGTGTCCTGTTGTTCACCACCGCTCCTTGCTCTTGCGGCTCGTGGTATCCCTTTGCCTGTCCTGCCCGCCCCACCAGCAGCCGTGCGTGCCTTCTTCACACGCCGCATGCAGGCTGCTGCCGCTGCTGTGCGGGGTGAGGGGGCGCTGAGTGGGACGGAGGCAGTGGAGGGGAAAGAGGAGGAGGGTGAGATGTTGGGGGAGGGGGAGAGGGAGGAAGAGGGGAATTCGAGTGATGAGGAGTGGGACAACTCAGGGTCGGATACAGAGTCAGAGGGAGATGACAAGGAGGAGGCACGGGAAGAGGGGAATGCAGCTGAGCAGTGGAGTGTGCGCCATGCGCTGAGCCAGCTGTCGGATCGCACGAGAGTGGTGGCCATGCATGCACAGCTGGCTGCCGCCTGCCTGGAGGCCTGTGGGCCGCTCATGGCCAGTCGGGATGCTGAGCTGGCGCTGCTCGCTGCTGACGTGGCGCAAACTTCTGTGGCTGCCATGTCAGCAGCTGATGTCGCACAGCGAGCGAGGGCCAATGAGCTGGAGGCGGTGAGGGAGGTGGTTCGGTTGAGAGTGAAACGAGCCAAGACACACCTCACTGCCCTGCAGGACTCAGGCTTGGGCACAGGTCCGGCCATAGGTTTGGAGTCAGGATTGGGTGGAGGTCTGGGGAGCGGTTTGCTGGACTGGTTGGAGGATGATGTGGCAGGGCTACGGGCCGACCTGACATCGCTGCAGGATGACGTGGCAGCAATGCATGACACGGAGGATGCTCTCAAGGTGGCGGATGCTGTGAGGGACGAGACCAATTGGCTGCTGCCACGTGTGCACATGATCTGGCCCCATGCTGTCTCTGGCCTCAGGAGGAGCCACCCTGCTGTAAGTACTCTCAGCAGCCTAACGCAGTGCAGTTCCAATCAGTCAGTGCTGAGCCCGTGTGAAGGGTGGCCAGACCCTTTCTATTGGGTGCTTGATATTGCTCTTTGCTCTTGCCTATCTCGTTCCTGGTCGTTCTACATTTCAATCTTACAGTTATTTTTTTCCATCTCATTCCTGCTTTTCAACCTCCCATTCTTTTCCCCCTTCCCCGCTGCCCTTTTCCCTTGCCAGCTCATCATCTCATCCATCCACGTCATCACAGCTCTGTCCACCACGTGTGACGATGCCTTCATGGCCAGAAAGATCCGGGAAGATTCCTGGCCTCTCATGGCGGCCCTGCTCCTCCAGGGCCCCCCTCTTCCCTCTTACTCCTCTCCCTCCTCCTCTCGCTCCTCGCCCTCCACTCCCTTCCTCGCGTCCATCTCCTCTCGGCGTCTCACCAATCCAAGTCCCGTGGACCTCACGAGGCTACTCACCCTCAGACCCGTACCAGATTCTGGTTCGGTGGCATCGCCGAGCCTGGCTACTGAACCTGCCACATCAAACGACTCTGAAGGTGCACTCTTACGAAAGGTTACATCAGCAGTAGGACCAGCCACGTTAGCAGCAGCAAGGACAGCCCCCTCGCTTTCCAGCTCTCTGGTTTCCCCTGCTGCCCAAGCTGCTTTCTCCCGCCTCTTCCCTTTTTCGTCAGGTTCGGGAACCGAACCTACTCTCACGAGCCTCCTTCAACCCATGTCCCGTTCGGATCTCCTCCTTTCTCCCACATCCTCCGCCCAACCCCAACAACACACACAGTACCCCTCACCCTCTTTTCCACACCCCCCCTTACCCTCCTCCTCACACCCACTCTCTCACGCTTCCATAATGGCCCCATCACCATCCCCAACTCTTTCCCAGACCACGTCAGCATCCACTAGCACACGCAACGCTGCCACGTCAGCATGCTCAGGTGTGGCACCTTCTGCGAGAGAGCGAGTGCAAATGGCAGTGCTGATGTGGATTGCAGAGGTGGCGCAATCTGACAGGTCGAGAGAGGGCGGCGGAGTCGCGTTGAGATCAGTGGCATGTGATGTGATTGTGGTGCTTATGGCAGTGCTGGCAGAAAGGAGGAGTGGGGGAGAAGAACTAATTCATGCTTTCCGCGATGGCGGCAACAGCAGCAGTAGCGATCTCAAGCCATCCATGGTGAAAAGGGCAGCTGAGGCAGCAGTATCTCTTGGCCGCGCACACAAGGAGAATGTCACCACGTTTCTGTCTCAGGCCATCCAGTCAATTGCTTCCACATCACCGCCGCAGCTAAGTGCCACTGCGCAGAGATACGACATTGTGGTCGTGGATGGTGGAAATTCAACAGATGGAATCTCCCAGAACGAGCTTGTGAAAGTAGCAGAGGCGTCGTTACGAGGCACAGGTAATGTGGAGAAACAGGGGAGCCACGTTCATTTGCTTTCGAAGCTGCTGAAGTATCTGCAAGAATGAAGTGCATTAGTGTGATTTGTGTTGTGCCAATGATGTGCATTTAGCCAGATAAGATTTTCTCGTGTAGTGTAGAAGCAAATTCCGCTGAACTCCTCATTGGTGTTCCCGCAACTCGCTTCGTGAATCTTCATCCTTCACAGCTAGATGCAGGAGCCCTGTCTCCAGCTTGTCACACCCACTATGCAAGGATGTGACCAATAGAATCATCGCAAAAGAAGTAGATACTCGAAAATACACGTCACCACCAATATCCCTTTCTGTCGCCAGCGTCGGCTTAGCAAGCGCGTGCGCAGACCTGATTTTCCCAGGAAAGGCACAGCTGTCGCACAACCGAGCATTCTTCCACAAGCAGGGGCTGTCGTTTATTGGGTGGCCGCATGTACGAAATCGGTGGTGCTCCTGCGACGGAATCTCCCTCGTTTCGATGCTCTTCGCTGCACGAAGGTCCGCCTTCCTCGCAGTTCTAAACTTCGCCAGTCGTCACTCCCCGCAGCTGTTTCGCCAACCTGTCTGCCAACCGTGCTCCATGTCTTTATCCGTGCGATCATTCATCTCGCCCTCCATGTCGCCGCTGACGATTCGGCCACCTATGGTGCCAGTGGTGGCTGAATCTAATCCCCACACGTTATAAAATTCTCCATCGGTTCCAGCTCGGTCGTTGATTCTCTCAGCCCATCGCCGCTCTGTCTGTCACTCTTCAATCGCGTCTCGATTATTCTACGCAAGAGCGTGGTACACCTAGTCCGCGGTATTTTAACCACGTGAACTGTTTTGCTTCAAACACCCTTTGTTCATTTTCGGGTAACGAGATGGGCACCCAGAGACTTCAAGGCTATTGTTTCGCAGCCAGAAGCATTTCCTTCTAAAGAAACCCACACTTAGTGCTCCGAAATAGAGGGCGGATCGGCATTGACCAGGTTTTGACTGCCATCGCCTCACAAAGGGTATGCTAGATTCTACCCTCAATAAATTTCAAAACTACTCGTATAAAAAAGTTTGACCAAGGAGAAGTACCCTCGCGCGGTTAAGATAGCGGCGGTTAAAATACCGCGGACTAGGTGTAGTATGCCTCTACTCTCAAACCCTAGTGGGCAAGATGCTCCATCCCTTCCACCAGCGCAACCTTAAATCGAGGACATCGAATCTCATGACTTCATCGAATGGCCATTCACGAGCCCGTGTCTCCAGATTGTCCCGCGCAATCGGGCATTCAGTTATCCCCATCCAACTGTTTTCGAACCCGCGGGGTTAACTCTTTGAGCGGTACGAAGAGAGCTCTTCTGCAGCAGCCATGGCGGTGCCGCTGGTTCGCACGACAAGCGCGGACTCGCCTCTCCGCGCGCCGGCATCCCTCATCCCCGACGCTGACTGCCTCGACGTCCCCACCGTCCTCGTCGTCTTACCCGACGGCTCCGTGCGACTGTACGACACGCGTCGCCTGACCGTGTGCGACGTGCTGTGCGACTATCCGAGCCACGCGCTGTCATGCACGACCACGGGCCCCGTGCTCCAGCAGCAGCGGGTCCTTAACCTCAACGCCACCTACTACCTCCGCCGAGTCTCCCCGCCCGCGGCGGCGGCTGCGGCGGAGGCTCCTTCCGCGAGCGTCGTCTCGGTGCAAAATCCCGATCTTCAATGCGCGCCGTTCTCGGCGGCGCACTCCCCGCACGACACGGGGGGATGCCCCAAGGAGGCTCTTGACTCGTCGTTTGATGCGCCTGGAGAGGAGACTAAAATGGCGCGGTCCGCCTCCGCGCGGAACCTCGAGCAAAATCGCGCGCAGTGGGAACACGTGGCGGAGCGGAGGACTTCCAGCTGGGACGCTGCGGATCCTGAGCCACGTCGGCATGACGTCAGCGACGGCATCATCCGGGGCAATCGCATAAATCCAATTCTGGCCGAGGTAAGCAGCAAAAGAACATATATCTGTTCCTGCAGCTAAGTTTCACGTTTGTTGAAGAGTGGCCCTCTTATGCTCCCCCCCCTGTCTCCCACGACGTGTGGTGTTTGCAGTTAGAAACGCTGGAAGACGACGGCGAAGTTCCTCCCACGCCCTCGACGGAATCCGTCAAGTCGTCGTCCCCCACGGCCAGCGCGAGACGGACTCTGATGGGCAAGCTGGTTCGCTTCAAGCTGCCCATCGGGCGGCGCAGCAGCAGCTACGATCAAGCCTCTCCCGTCGGATTCCGCGCTGAAAACACTCGCGTGAGCCCCCGAACTCCGCGCTCTCCGTGCCCTGTCATCCCCAAGAGCCCCCGCTTCAAACCTTCAGGCACAGCTGCTGCTAACACTTCGGTGCAATTCGAATTGAGCGACACGGATATCGCGTGCCATGGCGGCTGGGGTGACAATCTCCCAAAGGCGAGCGGGTATTCCCGGGGGGGAGAGTGGGTGGATGTGAGCTGTGACGTGTTCACGAGCGACACACGGATCGTCCGCCGCGCGGTCATGCTCGTAAAGCCTGCGGGGACCACGAGCGGGGGTGCATGTAACGCACAGCCGCTTATTCAAAGAAACTCGTCCAATCCTGCATTGGCTGCTGGTTCGCGGGCTGTAACACCAGTGTGGTTGAAAAATGGCAATTACACTCAGCAGTTCCCTCTGCCTGTCGTGGCGCCAAGGCAGTCGCGGCACAGCGCTGATTTTATCTCTTCAACTGAAAGATGCTTCACCAGCCCCCTGCTTCATCGGATGCTGGAGACATGAAGCTGGGATGGGATTACCGTGTCCTGATTTGTCTGTTCCATTTAGATGCCTCTGTTAGTTAGTCTTATTGCTCCAGCACCTTATTGCTTATTGTAGGTGGAGTGCAGTGTTTTTTGGGCGATCTACATCTCTCTGAAAGCTACTACCGAGTGTTTAGGGGATGCAAAAGGCTGCTGTTGTTCAGGGCCGGACGCTGGAAAACCGAAACCCAACGTGGAACCGTGTTGCTCTCATTGAGAGTTGAACTCAAGACCTCCCGCTTACTAATCGGGTGCTCTAACCAACTGAGCTATAAGAGCTGAAGAAAGATTGCCAGCTGTCATTCATGATACACTGCTTTCAGTGTCCCCAATAAAACGTACAATGATCTAATTGCAAGGGAACAGAGAATGTGACCACGGATAATACAGTATATGGCCATCAATGAGACAAGTGGTATCAATCAAGTCAGCACCGTCGGGGAGGGGGGTCAACCCTGAGGCCAACAGAGGAGCACTGCGAGCCACTAGCGGGCAGAGGCGGGCAGTACAGAAGCGAGGTCGGGCAGTCGGGCGAGGCACAAAGCATCTCCACCACTCGGAGCCACTCGGTGAAGGGAATGTTGGTGGAGAACTGCAGGCTGGCACAGTCCCTGCCCCTCTTCCTCAGATAATACTCCCGCCAAAAGTCCAGCAGCGCCCGAAAGTTTTTCATCACGCTGCCCGGGCCGACCCCGGTGGACAAATCTTCAGAGTTGGAAGAAACCGGGTCAGGCAGCAGAGAGGGGTTGATGAGAGCAGAGGACGGAGGCTTGGAGAAAAAAGAGGGTGAGCGTGAGGAGGGCGAGGAGGGCGAGGAGGGTGGAGAAGGGGAGGACGGGTTAGCAGGAGAGGAAGGGGAGGAGGGTTGGAGGAGGGTGGTGGAAGCGGCAAGTGATGCAGGCTGGGCCTTGTCGGCGGCTCGGAGGGCGGAGAGCAGAGAGAGGAGCTGCGCGTTGCGATTGGCGAAGATGAAGAAGATGAGTGCCGTGTTGAGCACACAGATGTTGTCCTGCATGGGGTGGGGGGGGAAAGGCGGGCGGGGCAAGGGTGGGAAGGGAGTTTGGGGATAAGAACAAGTTAGAGTGGTGCACACAAATGGTGTGCTGAGGAGAGCGGGGGATAATGAGGGCGAGGGATGAGAGTGGGAGACAGGGTGTTTCAAAACAGATGCGGAGGAAATGAGAACAATTGCTTCCCTTGTAAACGCTTTCACCACTTATGCCCCTCCCCCCCCCCCCGCACCACACAACCACAACCACGACACACCCCAGCAACATACAACCCACAAAGACAGTCTGCAATGCACCCAGCACACCCCTCTCACCCCACACCGCACCCCTCATCCCCTCTCCCAGGGTGCGCTGTGCGCACCTGGTTGATGTCGCCCAGGCGCACGACGAGCATGAGGTCGCGCAGCAGCAGCACCGAGTTGCACTCCATGAACGCCGCCAGGGGCGATGCCAACTCCTCCTCCTCCTCCCCCACCACCGCCGACCCCTCCCCCATCACCCCCTTCCCCTTTGCCTTCCCCTTCGCCTCCCATGCACTTCCTCTCTCCGCACTCCTTCCCCCTTCCTCCACCTTCTTTTTCCCCTTCCTGTCTGCAGCCGCCTCTGCTGCTGACGATGCTTCAGCGACCCCACGTGGTGATGCACTACGGGGTGTGCCCTTGAGAGCCGACTCCTCTTCCCTCTCCCTGCCCCTTCTCTCTGTGCCCTCGCCTGAGCTGCTGTTGGCATCGCCACCATCCCCATCACCACCACTCCCGCCGCCACCAGCATCAGCATCAGTACCGTCAGCAGCAACTCTCGACTCCTTCTTTGCCTCCTCTTCCCCACAAGCAGCAGCAGCAGCAGCTGAAGAGGACCGCAGGTCAGGCGCAGGGCTTGAGGAGGACGATGCTAGCGACGGCGCAGCGGACGTGGATGGGATGGCGGGGGACAGCACAGGAGGGGGGAGCGCAGGCGTGGGGCAGGGGCCGAGGTAGGGCGGGGTGGGGAGGGCGGTGCGGAAGGCGTGGAGGGAGAGCATGACGGAGCGGATGAAGACGTTGGAGTCCACCAGGTGCGCCACCAGCACCTCGATGAACCGCGCAAACCGCTCGCCCTGCACCAGCGCCGCCAGCCGCCGGAACAACACCGGGTTGAACTTGACGAGCTCGCCCAGCAGGTCAAAGTCGATCTGCAGGGACGCCGCGCACTTAAAGCCCGACGCCCCTCGGAGAATCTCCTCCACGAGGTGCTCCATGAGGCCTGTGGCCGCGACCAGCTGCTGGTCACGCGGGTTGGAGCCTCGGAGAAACGCCTCGACACAGGAGGCGAGCCAGAAGCGGTACACGGAGTCGGCGGACTCCTTCATGAGCACTCGGATGATCTTCAGCATCAACGCCTCGTTCTTCCCCTCCTCGCCCGCCCCGCCCTCCACCACCCCACCTGCTCCCGCTGCTGCTGCTGCTTCTGTTGCACATGCTGCTGCTTGCGCGCTGCTTCCCTCTCCTCTGCTGGCGCCCACTCCCACGGCCTGGGGCAACACACCAGAGTCACCTGCGCCATCTCTGATACCCAAGCCAGGCAGCCACTGGTTTGGTGAAAACCCTAGCGCCCGCCCTAAGCTCGCCCCAAACCCCAGCGCATACCCGTGCTCCTCTCCCTCTCCCTCTCCTTGTCCCCGCCCCTGTGCGTTTCCCTCTCCCTGCGTGCTTCCCTGCACCCTCCCATCCACACCCCCGCTGCTGCCGCTGGAGCTGCTGCTGCCACCACTGATGGTCGCCCCACCACCAGCACCACCAGCAGCAACACCACCAGCAGGCATGCTTCCAAGGGTGCTTGCACTTGCAGCGATACCCGGGGCAGCAATCAGGGGTGGGGTACCAGCAGCGAGGGGCGGTGGTACACCACCGGGCGAGGCGAGCAGCAGCTTGTTGTGCAGGTTGGGGCCGTCCCGGTCACAGAAGTTGTGAATGAGACGCAGGTACTGGATCTTCAGGGCCTGCGAGGGGTGCAGAGCAGAGCAGAGACGTGGAACGCGGTGAATAAAGGCGTTGAAGAGTCAGGAAAAAACAGTGGCTAAAGATGAGACACTGGGACTTGGGAGGACTTAGGGAGGTACAAAACGTGGAGCTGACGTGCAAGTAGATGCAGAGGGATGAAAAGGCGTAACACGGAGCCACACGTAAAGGCAAGGTACTGGCAGCCAGGTCATGCAGGCAGGCTGTGGAAAGTAGAGGAGAGCCAGGCTGTGCGAGGAGAGGCACTGACCGACTCGGGGTTGCAGGAGCAGCCGGGGCCGTGGATGCCATGGGGCTCAGCGGGCGGCGGCAGCGGGGCGGACCAGTTGAGGCGGTCAAACGAGTCCACGAGGATGCCCACCAGCCCCAGCGCCGCCAGCTGGTCCTGCACCGCCTCCTTGCGCTTGCCCCCGCACAGCGCACACAGCACGAATAACACCTCCACCTGCTGCTGCCGTCAAATGGGAGCACGTGCGCAACAGGCACACACGGACGCGAGTGACGGGAGAATGTACTGAGAAGCTGCAAGGCAGTGGGACATGACTGGCAATGCTGATTTGAATGCGGGAAAGGGCATACCAGGCATGGAGCAGAACACAAACGGCTGCACTTGCCATTCAGTACCATTCCTTCCACAACATTTCGTGCATGCGATGCCATGCCATGCCAGTGCCCAGCCTCCTAGTCACCTCCCCACCGCTCACCTGCTGCTCCATGAACGAAGCAGCCATGTTCGTCGCCACAGCAGCAGGCCCCGCGCCCTCTGGTAACCCGATTTCGCCAGCCCTCAGGACAGTAACGGCGCCCTGGGGCAGCGCGCGCAGGAAGGGCTCCAGCTCGCCCTCGGGCACCTCCCCCAGCAGGCGCGGCGGGTTCCCCACGAACACCATCACCCGCGCGCCCGCGGGGATGCCCGCTCCTGCTGCCTCCGCGGCGGTTGCAGCAGCGGCGGGGTTGGCAGGCGCGGTGAGTGGGAGCAGGTTCAGGGGATTGGCGGTCATTGGAATGCCTGTAGTATTCACTTGGGGAAGCGCTCCCGGTTGGGTTGCAGTGGGTGGAGTGCGGTTGGGGGGCGGTCGAGGCGGTGAGGTGGAGGTTCCTGTAAGGAGGGTAGGATGGGGGGAGAAGGGCAGCACAGCGGCATGGGGGGAGGGGGGAAGCAGGGGTGGCATGCGGGGCGGAGGAGCGGCAACAGGCGGCGAGCGCGGGGAGAAGGGCCCTCGGGTGGTATCTGCTGCTCCGCGTGGTGCCACTCCTGCCACAGGCACAGCAGCACCAGTTCGCCGTTGACTCACAGCCACAGCACCACCACCGCCATCCGGACCAGGCTCCTGCTCCTCACCTCCTTCCCCTGCGCCTCCTCTTCCCTCCCGCGCTGCTCCTCCTCCTCCGCCTGTTCCCCCTGGACGAAGTCCCCCTATGCCCCCAAACAGCCCAAACCCTCCCCAGAGATTTCCCCTGCCCGCCTGCCTGGCTGCCGCGCCAGAGGCCTCCGCCCCGCCATCTCCGCCGCCCCCCACTGCGCCAGCGCTCTCCGAAGCACCTTGTGCCGCGCCTCTGCCCCCCCCACTTCCTTCCGCCTCCCTCCCTCCCCCATTACCGCCACTGCCACCGCCAGTGCTATGGGTGCTGGTACCAGCATCGCCGGTCCCCCAGCCGAACAAGCCCTGGATGAAATGAATCGCGCCCGCAGCCGCACCCCCACCCGCGCTCTCCCTCCTCTCTCTCGCACCTCCCGACCTCTCCACACCATCTCCTCCACCCAAAAGCCTCCCCAACCTGGTCCCCTGCCGCTCGCCCCCACTCCTGCTCCCCCCTCCGTGCACTTCCTCCCCCTCCTCTACTCCCCCCTCTTCCCGTCTCTCCTCCCCTTCTCCGCCCTCCTCCTCGTCGTCCTCCCCTGCGATCTCCTCCTCAACATCCTCGTAGAACCCAGACCCTTCCCCTTCCTCCCCCTCCTCTCCCTCTCCCTCCCCCTCTGCCTCTGCCTCCACATCCTCGTCCTCCTCCAGCAACTCACCCTCCATATCAACCTCCTCCTCCACCTCCTCAACCTCCTCCTCCACCTCCTCATCCTCCTCCTGCTCCTCTTCTTCCTCGTACTCCTCCCCGTCCTCGTTATAGTCCTCTTCGTCGTCCTCTTCAGGCCCCCAGTCGGCAGCGGTCTCGTCTTCCCCAGCCATGAGGTCGCCCAGCAGCGGCTGCCACTCGCTCAGGCTGGGCGACCACAGGTCCGCCTCGCCGCTGCTCTCCATCTGCCAGTCACAGTCACAGGGTCAACACACCATCAAGCACAGCGATACACAGCTATCGCACACTTATAACAATGTACTAATGGTGGTGCTGATCATCACGGAACAGACGAACGGAAGAAGCAAAACACTTTGGGGCTGTGAGCAAACACAGCGGGACCCGACCTGCAGCAGCTTGACGAGGTTGGCGAGGATGTCGGGGATGGCCAGCAGAACGTCGTGGTTGCCGTCCGCCACCGCCCACTCCGCCTCCCGCTCCGCGCGCTCCGCCGGGTCCGCGCCCTTCTGCAGCGCGGAGACCTCGGGCGCGCGGTCCTCGGGTTCGAAGACGACCATGGCGAGCACGCGGCAGAAGAAGGAGAGCTGCCGCGCCGACAGCCCGCGCACCAGGCGCGCGAAGTTGGGCACCGACCCCAGATTCAGCGTCTCCTCCCCCACCGCCAGGATCTCCTCCGCTAGCGCGACGGCTGTGACGGGGTAGAGGGGAGGACGCAAGCGGGGGGAAGCATAGAACGAGCTCAAGACGAGATGCACGAAGAGCTAGAAAGAGCAACGAATCAGATGGGCAGAGAAACGAGAGACGGGAACTAGGATGCGCCAAGAGCATGAACGCGCAGGAAACGTGATGCGGAAGAGACAGAACGAGCTCGAAATCAGTCAAACCGAAGAAGTGTCGCTGGCCGGCATGCGACGCGCACCGTCCATCCATGGTGCGTACCGTAGTCGAATGTGATCTTATTCTCCATGAGCGCGAAGAGGCGGATGAGGAACTGGCGCTGCACGGACAGCCCCTCGGAGAAGCACGCGGACGCGAAGCACATCTCGCGCAGCACCGCCAGGCAGTCGTTGCGCATCATCCACAGCGCCGTCTCCTCGCGCGACGTCTCCCCCTCTCGTAGCGTCCCCGACTCCCGCGATCCCTCCGCGCTCTCCGTGCGGAAAATCCCACGGCGGTTCCGCGATCCCCCCCCAACCCTTCCCCCTCCGTCAGATCCCGCTGCTGCTCCCGCGGTAAGTGCCGTGGAGCTTCCTTCGCGACCTGTTTCGCGAGAATTCGCGAACGGCGAGGAGAGAATGCGGATGAAGAGGGTGTCACCTCCGCAGTAAACGAACCAGTCACGGCTGCTCTGCTGGTTGCTACTCGAAGACTCCCCGATGTTGCGGAAGATCCGGCCAATCACACTTCTGCACGCTTCTAGATCGTTCGCCAAAAAATGCGATTCGACATCCTTGCATAAGCCAGCCATGCCATGAGACAACGCGTAGAGCCTTTGATAAAGAGGCTTCGGAAGACGACGGATGCTCTTAATACTTCTGCCGGAGATCTGGCCATAAGCGACGGAAGCGAAGACATTCCTATCGCGTCTGGATCTGAGAGAGCGTTTGCCGGTCGACAAGGGTAACGCCAAGGGACCCATGGCGTGTCGCTGTAGTCACGGGCCTTCTGTGCGGAAAACCTTGCCGATCCTTGCTTAAACGCTTCCTCCAAAAGCTTGCGCCAGGAGTTGTTCACTCTACTAATCGTTACAGACTGACGACGCCGCCTGCCGCCGTAATGAGCGTAATGGCTAATGTTGAAGGGAGATGTCAACGCGTTCTGTCGACCAAAGTTCTGGTGAAGCTGCGGCTACTCCTGCAGATTTGAGGTGCGACGTACGGCAGTAAATCCAGTGAGTTCAGGGATGAATAAGTCCGCGAGGTGGTCTTCCGCACTCCGCTGGCGTCTGGATCACGCAAGGCTTCTCACGCCATCCAGGCGCAGACTGTAACGATACAGCGTGACTCGAGCTAGAAGCTGATGTGCACAAGCCTTCTAGACTTACAAGTATACTATGGTGGATTGAGCTAGTAGATGACGCAATCCAATCAACTTGACCCACGCTACACCACCAGCCAGAGAAAGGAAAGGAACCCTAACCTCGAAGCCGGTGCTGCTGCGAGAAAAGTGTGGTGGACTGAAGAAAGTGAAGGATCTGGCTGGAGTGCAGCAGTAATGACCACCTCACTCGGCTATGTACTGGTCATAAGGAGGACCAGCGAAGCATGCACGAAGAGCTATACGAGTTACAAGTTCTCGAACAGTTTTCGCGAATCATACCAAGGCGGCTGAGCGCGGGGAGACGCCGTTCTGGTTTTCTTTAGGGACTTCAGTTTTCCCAGGGCCAACGGATACCCTGGTGTATAAGTGTCAGGGACTTCTGCCGCGAATGGTTCTGGAAGTGACAGAATCGAGTCACAATTAGCTTCGACGGGCTCTAGATTTCAGTTTTCAGTGCGAAAACAAAATACTGCGGAATGCCCTAATATTCTCAGATCTCCGGGCGAACCAGGAATATAGTAATCCGAAATTCCAAACATCGCCTTCCCCCGAACGACACCCCCGACACCATTGTGCGCGAGGGCGGGCTTGCGCCAGCTTCTCTGCAGCAGATCAGGCGCGCAAAATTGTCAGACCAGCGCACAGCACACCACACGGTCAGATATATGTCAGCTTTCGCACACGGTCGCACACATTCCCGGGCCGCAGCCGAGTGGATCTCTCAGGTGTCAGCTTTCGCACACTGTCGCCGTCACAATCGCGCAACCCCTACCAATCCAATATCGAATGTGATCGGCAACGTGAAGCATCTCCAACCTCGAGAAGCTCCCAACCAACCAATTTGACATGTGTGCTTGCTTGAATCGATTGCGCTAGGTGTCGCAGTAGCGCCATGGTGCTGGAGAATTTCTTGGCTTGAATGGCGCGATTCCAAACGAGCTGGGACACGCACGCTAGCATGGTGCCAATGATGTGAATCTCCTAACGCGCATCACGCCATCAATCTCCCGAAGAATGTCGTAAGCTGAGTCGCGATCGTTAGACCGCATCAGAAAATGTTTGCGAGGCTTTTCTTGAGTTCATCAGCCCACTCACCTCCGAACTTCAAGATCTCAACGATTTTCGAGTGGCTACAAACCCCTCTTCCAAACCCGTTCTTCCGAGTACCGCAGGGCGAGCGCAACGGACGGCTTGCCATGCGCGCGGATTATGCATGTCCGTGAAGTTGTTTCAGCGGGGCAATCCATAGCCGGGATGCTCGTAAGGGTGACAGGCAGGTACAGTTGCACTGCTCTGAAAATTCTCTTTCGCCGTTGCGAAGAAATCATGAATACCAAAATGTAGCTGAGCTGCGAGTGTTTCAATTCGTGATGCCCCGTCTCTCTTCAGGATCCGACCAATAGCAGGGGGTGATGAAACGCGCATCAGGATAGAGGGTCGGTCTGGAGCTCTGCTCGTTGTAGACACGTCCCGTATAGTCACACCTGGCATGCGCCCTAACAGTCTGTTCCAGTTTCTGGGGAAGGTCGATTGGAGAGAAGACGCGGCAGAGGAAGACAAGATGGTGAGCTGGTGCCGAGGAGTGCCATGTGCCTGCCTGCCTGCTCACTTCCTGCTAAGTTGACTACAGTCTCAAAAATACCATGATAGATCACACCTCTTCTCTACAAGCACTCAAGAAGTTGTCTCTGCTAGATGGTGCACGTTCCTAATGGCATTCAGAATGCACACTTCTGCCTTCCCTCGCTTCACCAACCCGCAGTCTGCCCCCACCCAAGCCCACCGTCTTCTCCCCCACCTTTTTGTGTGCCTTGAGTCAGTCACAAACCCTCCTTTTAAGTTACTTGCAAACTCTGCAGGAGGCTTTGAGGCATCTCCAACTTCATTCACCTTCCTCCTCTGCCCCCGGCTTCCCCTGCAGGTGCTACTAGCGCAGCTGGGGCGGAGTGTGGAGGGCATGGACGAGGGGCTGTTTGAGAGGGCGCTGGAGCTCAAGCGGCAGTTCGAAAGCGCTGCCAGAGCTGCCAGGTAGAATGGGCTATGCGGCAAATGGGGAGGCCACTATTGTGCACGCCGGCAGCGCCAGGAATGATGAGTGGAGGGCATGGACAGAGGGGCTGAATGACAAGCGCTGGAGACTGGAGCTGAAGGGGCACTACGACAGCACCGCTAGAGCCGTGGGTTTGATGGAAAAAGAGAGTGTAGAGTGGTCATGTGCTGGGATTTGTAGTTGTGCTGAAAGCTGCAACTAAACATGCCATGCATTTGGCATGCACAACCTTAAGCTATCAGTACGTTTATTACAGCGTCACATGCAGCAGCATGCTGCAATGCAGGAAAAACGTAGCCTAGAGAGGGGCTAATTACAAAGGCATGCATGGCTCGCCCATGGCCATGCAATCCAATAAGACGGGCTCTTGCCATGCACTCGGCACTACTTGATTTCGCACGGCATGGCAAGGGCTTGACCCGGCCTGTATAGGGGTTGGGTTGGCCCGTGTGGATTGGCATACAGAAGCGCAGGGGTGCAGGGAAGCAGGTGCAGGGTGTGGTGCAGCAGGGGCATCAGGAGTCGATCTCCTGAGGCAGCTTGGCCTTGCCCAAATACACATACTCCATCTCCGCCTCCCATGCCTGCACGCCAACAGGGGGACGGGGGGCAGCGAAGGAGCCGCAGCAATGACACTCTTGAGACGCACACACACCTCATCTCAGCAAAGATGCTTGGTGACTCTGAGTCAAGTGACAAGTCAACCCCGAGCCATGCCACACAGCACATCTCTGTTCAAGGGGAGCGGCACACTGTAATGGCATCGTGATGCACTCTCTGCATTTCCCAAATATGCATAACCCACATCCTCCCAGGCGTGAATGAATGGAACGGGCTGTGCGTGCGCACACCAAACCCCTAGAAATGCGATTGCACTCACAGGGGTGCAATCCACCTAGTGACAAAGCCACTTGGTTGTGACAAGGCTTTCCTCTAGCAAAGGCGTAACCTGGTAGCAGCGAAACGCATGAGCCACTCAGCCACTCGTGAGTCGTCACCTGGCGGCACCCACCCACAGCACGCCACTCACATCACCTGCTAGAGGACTCACACCCCACCCAGCCCTGGTAGCGCCCCCACGGCACCTGGTAGCGGAACTCGCCCCACCTGGTAGCGGAACTCGCCCCACCTGGTAGCGGAACTCGCCTCACCTGGTAGCGGAACTCGCCCCACCTGGTAGCGGAACTCGCCCCACCTGGTAGCGGAACTCGCCTCACCTGGTAGCGGAACTCGCCTCACCTGGTAGCGGAACTCGACGCGGATGTGCGGCACGTTGGTGCGGTGGATGTCGTTGCTGTCCGGGCCGCGCAGGAAGTAGCGCGGCCCTATCCAATGCGCCTGGGGGCAGGGGGCCAAGCACGAAAGGAGGAGGAGAGAGGGTAAGATTGTGGTGGGTGATACTGTAAAATGTGACCATTGAGTCGTTTCAGGGGGCGGATGAGGAGAGGGGGCAATTGCAAAGCATGACGCATGCTGCACGAAACCTGGATTGTGGCGCAGCATCACAGCAACAGGCGAGGCAGGTACCTTGGTGGGGTGCCAGAAGCCCGACTGGTACACGGAGTTGCGCGCGATCTCACAGAGGTCGCATGATGTAAGGCGCCACACCTGGTGTGCGCGAGGGGGAGGAAAAGGGGATCGGGGTTAAGTAGGTTTTGGAGAGAGAAAAGAGGAGCGCCGTGAAGGAAAGGAGGATGAGAGGAAGTTGTTTTCAGATGTGGCAGGAGGTGAGGCGCCTCTTGTGATGCACACGAGGGACGGAGATGCTGGGAGGGGGCAGCTAAGCAGACAGCAAGGGGATTGCTGGTAACATGGATCACTGGCAAACCATGAGTGGAGCGAGTGGGTTCGAACACCCACCTGAGCGGCGATGCTGTACTCCTCGACGAGCGGCTCCTTGGTGAGGTGGATCATGAGCGGGTCGTCCGTGGAGAGCGACACGTTCAGCCCGCGCGCAAAGAACTGCGGGAAGGGGTTCTTGTGGTAGTCCAGGAACAGCGAGTTGTTGCTCAACGGGGACATGGCGAGCCCGATCTGCGCCAGGTAGTAGAGGTGCTGCAGGGCGGGCGTGCGGCGCAGGTTGTTGCCGTGCGCTATGTTGTGCGCCGTCAGGAAGGTGGCTGCTAGATGGTCCACGTCTCCCGCCTGCCGTGGGGAGCACATGGGGGGCCCGGGCGGGGTTTGGATGGGGGAACGGGGGTTAAGGAGGGGAGTGGAAGGCAGAGAGCAAGGTGAGAAGAGGCTTGTTGCTGTGGGAAATGGTGTGTGATGTGGTTTGGGTGACACCTCGCACAGCTCCCCACTTTATCACCCCACCCCCCCCCCCCCTTTTTCCCCTGTCATTCCATCTCGCCTCCCCCTCCCCCTCCCCATCTCACCTCAACCCCCCCAGCCTCACCTCTCCAGAGTGCGGGCGGAACTTGAGGATGGAGAGGCCCTTGGACTCGCGTAGCTGTGCTCGAGGGGGGGAACGGGGGAGAGGGGGAGGTGCAGGGCGAAGAGTGACGGATGGGAAGAGAGAGCGGCCGAGGAAAGGGGGCGAGCACGCGGATAGAGGAAGGAGAAGGCCAAGGGCAGAAGATTGGGATGAGAAAGACTTTCAGAGATAAGCTACCTGTGAATACGTCACGCCACATGGGGCGACGTGGGGTGGGTTGCAGAAGAGGCTTTGCAAGTTAGAAACAGTGTGATAGGCAGGAATGGACAGCAGGCAGGATGAGAGCGTGCCAACGGGCAGAGTGAGGGCAGGGCAGGGCAGGGCAGGGCACAGACGCGGTTGAGTTTGAGGAGGTTGGCGTAGACGTAGTAGGTGTAGTAGGCGTAGGCGGGGTTGAAGGGGTTGGTCCACTCCGCCGGTGTTATCATGTGCTTCGTGGGGCGCCGCTCCGGACGGCTCTCATCGTCCACCATGTCAAACCCCACCACCTGGCAGGGCAGGGCAGGGCAGGGCAGGGCAGGGCAGGGCAGGGCAGGGCAGGGCAGGGCAGGGCAGGGCAGGGCAGGGCAGGGCAGGGGACACACGGGGGGTGCCGTAGAGGGTGTTAAGCGACGCAGAACATGCGGGCCACGGTGTGAGAGCACGTTCAGCTTTTCAGACAGTGTGACGGACTGCTCTATGCAGTGCAGTGCGACAAGTGACGTGCACTCACGTGGTTGAGGAAGATGCACTCACGTGGTTGAGGAAGATGCACTCACGTGGTTGAGGAGATGCACTCACGTGGTTGAGGAGATGCACTCACGTGGTTGAGGAGATGCACTCACATGGTTGAGGAAGATGTGGAGGTGCGGGTGCGAGGAGGGGTCGACGGTGACTTGGAAGAGCGGCAGGAAGATGTTGTCCAGCATGGTCTGGAACGACGCCACTATGCCCATGTCCTTGTACACGTTGTATAGGCGGGGCAGCTGCCACGCATGGGGGGGATGGGGGGGAGATAGACAGATGGACAGAGAAGGAGAAAGGGCGGGAAGGGAAGCAGCTATTGGGGAGGCGCGGGTACCAAGGGAGGCAAAGAGAGGGGAAGCGGCAGAGAGGGGCAAGGAGGGAAGGTGCTGGGTGAAGGGATGGCGAGGCTGGCTGACTGTAACATGCATACCCGTAACAGCCACCGTGACTGAATCACACGCATACAAAACCACCTGACCCACCTGGATGAGGCGCCCACCTGGATGAGGCGCCCACCTGGATGAGCCAGACGACGTTGGGGCAGTAGAGGTCGTTGTTGACGACCCAGCTGGCGAGCTGGTCCCACTCGCTCATCTTGCGGCCGTAGATGGACACCCTGTACTCCGCCATCTGCCCGCACACCGGGGGGAGGAAGGCACGGGAGGGAAGGGGCGACAAGGCAGGGGAATGGGGGAGGTATGGCAGGATGTGAGGCAGACGCAGAAGCAGAAGTAGAGAAGCAGAGGGGGGAGGGGATGTGGATGGATTGACACACAGCACTCCCCTTGAATGACATTGGATGAAGTGACAGGGATATGCAGTGACGCTGAGGATGCCTTATTGCACCTCGCCTCCCGAGCGCCTAACTACCTTGGACGCCACTCCCCTCACCTGGTACTTGGACGCCACCAGATCCGTGAACACCTCCTTCGTCACTTCCGCCAAGAACCTTCCTGGAAGGTGGTGAGGTTGGTGGATAGATTTGAGACGTCGCACAAGATGAAGGGGCGAGCGGGAGCCGCCGGGGAAAGGGTGTGGGCGGAGGGGAGAGGGGCAATAGGGTGGAGGTGGAGGAAGGAGGAAAAGGCTATTGAGGGGAAAGATATCGAAGGGAAAGAGATAGATTGCAGGGCGGCAGGAGAAGCGAGTGGGAATAAAGTGTAAATGTAGTGGATGTGCAATTGAAGGGGGGTGTGAAGGCGGAAAGCTGTCAGAATTGCGCGCCCTTGAGATGACACGGTGACATGTCACCCTGAATGAGGTTGTCCTGCTTGATGAAGATCTCTCTGAGTCGGCTCTGCCCGCACGGGTTGTACTTGAGGTTGAACTTGTCAAAGCGGTGGAACGTGTTCTTGTCCGCGTGCACGTCCAGCAGATCCACGTTCAGATCGTAGCTGTGAGGGGGCGGGGGGGGGGAGGTTGAGAAGAGGGTAAGGGGAAAGAGGGACGCGATAACCAAGGGGGATGTAGGGCGAGGGAATGAGAGGGACGTGAATGACTGCATGAACGTGCACCCAGAGAGGTGACACTGAGTTCAAGCGGGTGGGTGAGAGGGGTTGCGGCGGACAGGCACTGACCCGGTGAGGTCGAGGCTCTCAAAGACCTCCTTGAGCGTGAGGTACTTGCCGTCTCGGAAGATCACCACCTGCCCACCGTATTCATCACCAGCACACGCAGGCACGCACGCAGGCATGAATGAATGAGTGAAACCCGTGGCTGAACGAGAATTATGGCTGCACGCCCTGTGCCGCCCATTCACGTCCACCCTGCTCCCCCACCCTCGCCCTCTCCCCACCCCACTCCCCCACTCCCCCCACGT